TTTTGAGTTTTGATGAAGTTGAATGTGTGTCTCTCTCTCTTTTTTTTTCCCTTTGGTTTGTATCTAAGAAGTCATCTCCTAACCCGAGGTCACAGATTTATAATTAAAAAAAAAAAATTCTTATATAGCTCTCATAAAAGGGTTTTTATAAATTTAGCTCTTGCTTTTAGGCCTTTCATATTTTTAATTTTATTTTTTTAGTTTCCTGTGGGGTGTGTGCACCTGCTGAAGATAGAGAGGAAAAGGGAGGAATCACCCCTCCTACACACAGGGTGGGAGAAATGGTCACACCACAATCCCTTCTCCATTCTCCTCTTGCGACTTTGGGTGTGCACACACGCGATTCTCAAGCCAGTTGAGAATCTGGGACTTCAGTCACGCAGTTGGCCACGTGGGGTCTAGCTGGCCCTGTGGGATCCTGTCACCTTAACTTCCATGACACCTGCTGGCCCTTTTAATACATTTGAGTTCAGGATTTTGTCACATGGTGTAAGGTAGTGTCCAATTTCATTTTGAGGGAGTGGTCAATTTCTTCTTTTTTTAAAGAATTATTTTATTTAACTTTTATTATTATTTTCCAGTTTGATCACAGAGAGATAGAGAAAAGGAAAGTGAGAAAGCAAGCCACCAGGTCGGGGACTTGAATCGCGTTTGGCCATGTAGGAGTCCAGTGCCTTTAACCGCCATGCCATCTGCTGGCCCTGGGAATGGCCAGTTTCATTCTTTTCTCTGCAGATATCCAGTTCTTATGGCACAATTGGTTAAAAAGACTGTTCTTCCTTTGTGGAGCTTTCTTGATACCCTGTCTAAAATCAATTGACTGTAAATGTGTGGATTTGCTATTGAACTGTTCATTCTGTTTGACTGATCTATGTCTCTGTCCTTATGCTAGTGCCAAACTGTTTTGATTACGGTAACTCTATAGTAAGTTTTGAAAAATACCTCCCTTTTTTGTTTCTATTTTCCTCTGTTCATTTGTGTTAAACAGATGTTTCCTAATGTGACATTTTAATTTTCTTGTCCTTTTTCAGCTATATTGTTTCAATTCTTTTCTTAGTGTTTGCCTGGGTAATATAATTAATGTATTTTATAACCATCTACTTCAGAGATAAACCAATTTAACATTGTACAGAAATTTTGCTCCTCTGTAGCTCCTACCTTTGAGTTGTTGTTTGTGCTTATGTAGGTTTTCTCTTTTCCTTCCGTGAGCTAAAGAAACAGAGATAGCCCCTCCCACAGGGTCTTAATGCCATGATTTCCCAGCAGCCCTGAATCATGGGAATGTATTTGCTAGGCTCAGTGACGTCTCCAAACATGTCCTGAGAAGCTTCCCATGTGGGATTACCTCTCTTTTTACCACTGAGCCATTGCTGCTGTTTCTTAAATCAAAAGGAGAGAAACATAATTACAAATAAAAGGTATGCTAATGTGTCTTTCAAGTTGTATTTCCCTCTGCCATCAGTCTTTATATTTTTGTGGATCCAAGCTACTATCTAATCATTTTCATTTGACCAGAGAAAGACACACAGAAGGAAAGTGAGAAAGCAAGCCACCAGGTCCAGGACTTGAACCGTGGTCGGCCATGTGGGAGTGTCCAGTGCCTTAACCACCACACCACCTATTGGCCTGAAAAATAGTACACTTTTATCAGAATTGCTCCTCTATGGTACTCTGCACTGTCTAGAAATGATTGTCTTCCTGAAGCCCTCTCACCTATGGCTCCCTCCCAAACTGGTTATCTGCCAGGTCCTAGAACTTTCTTCCTGGACTTGAAGATAAAAGGCACTGCTTTCAGATCCTAGTTGGCTATTTTTATTAGTTTTCATGTTCATTTTGTTTTCCTCAAGTGATAATAGCAAATGCAGAGTTCTCATAGGTTGTAAAGTTATTTATGTTAAACACACTTATTTCATAGTTTGGGTATTAATAGAATTAATTCTAGCTTTAGACTGGTTCTTGCCTTAGAATATCAAAGGTATTTCTCTTTTGTCTTAGATCTAGTGTTATTGATTCAAGAAGTCTCTTCCATTCATATTTTGTATACGTAAACGTTTTCTCCTCCTCCCTCAGCTCTCAGGAACTTTTAAAGCATGCAGTGTACTGAAGTTTGTGAATTCGTGTGAGTCACTCTTGTTCATTCTGTTCAGTTCTCAGTGGATCATCTTCCATCTGAAGGCATATTTTCTTCAGTTCTGGGAAATTCTCTTATTACTATATTTTTTTTTGGGGGGGAGAGGTTTTCGCTACAGAGCACGTGCGCTCACCAGACAGACAGAGACATAGAGACAGAAAGCGAGAAATCACCCTCCAGGGGGGATGGTCACACCGCAATCCCTTCTCCTCCATTCTCCTCTCGGGATCTTAGGCATGCACGCACACGCGCCCAGCGTGAGTTTTAAGCCACCGGGTCCGGGACGCGAACCGCCGTCGACTAAGTGGGAGTCCAGCGACATAGCCATTACGCTAACTGCTGGTTCCCTTCTATCATAATTTTTGAACTGCCAAATTGATGGTGTGAATTGATCTCTGTTTCTACCTTAATTCCTTTGACTTTATCTTCAGGCTTTCTATTGAAATTTTTATGAAATTTGTATATTTTTGCTTTTAGGACTAATCATTCTATTCCCACTTTTTATTCTGTTCTGTATGTACAGTATCTTCTCCATTCTCTGTGAGGCTACCACATGGAAGTACTTTGGATTAAGCTCTGTGATCTTTGTCTCTCTTTTTTTTTTTGGCTAACTTTTTTTGGGGTGCTGCTGGTTTTCCTTATGAGATGCAGTCCTGTAAGGGGCCCAACAGGTGGCATGGTGCTTAAGGTGGCTGGACTCTCACATGGTTGACTGATTGATCTCAGTTTGAGTTCCGGACCCAGTGGCTTGAAAATCACACCAGGCAAGTGTGTGTGCCTGCCCAAGATCCCAAGAGGACTATGGAGAAGAAGGAATTGTGAAATGGTCATTCCCCATGGGTGGTGATTTTCCACTTTTCCTCTCTCTGAATCTCTGTCTCTCTCTCTCCTGTCTGGGAAGCACACACTTGCCCTATAGTAAAAACCTTAAAAAAAAACAAAATGCAATACTCGATTCCCTGGTAGTTTTTATTTTTGTTAATTAAAAAAATGTTTCCCAGTACTCTTTTTTTTTAATTTTTAAATTTTTTTATTTTAGAGATTTTTGCTATAGGGCATATATGCTATAGGGCATATATGCTCCAGGGAGCATGGCCACCCCGCAGTCCCTTCTACTCCATTCTCCTCTTGGGATTTTGGGTGCACACGCACACACACACACACACACACATGTGCCCGGCATGAGCTTTAAGCCACAAGGTCTGGGACTTGAATGATGATCAACTACATGGGAGTCCAATGATGTAATCATTATGCCATCTGCTGGTCCCCCCCAGTTCTCTTGAGTTTGGGACAGTATAATGGTTTCTGCATTATGTGGCTACAGTCTGTTCCCCCATCCCCTGACTGCTGAGTGTATCAACCCACCCAGGGCTGGACAAGCACTTTGGGCAGACACCCACTAGTTCCTCAGATTGCTGGTTGGTTTATTTGTACCAGGTCCCTCCATGGTGTTGTAGCAAATAGTCGGGTTTCTGTACCTCCTGACTGGGCTCCTGGGGCATAGCTGTTCATACAGGGGCTTCTCCCCACCCTTGCTGAGTCCTGCAGCTGTGACTGGAGACATCCTATGAACTGTGTGCCTCTCTCTACTCCTCTCTTCCTTCCGTCTCCCACAGGGCCATGGGCATCTCATTTGCTCTGTGTCCCACTCTGAGGCTCTTCTCTTTGCTCTGGGTGTTCTGAGGTTGCGGGAAGTCAGAAGACCACCTATTTCCAGGGTGACCCTTCAACTGGTACCCATCTCTGGTTTCTCCTAGGCTTGATCAGCCTCCAGTAGATAGTATGAGAAGCTTGCCCAGATTGGGCAGTTACGATGTTCATAAACTGGCCAGAAGAATTCTCTTCATCTGAGTGAACTTGTCCTTGGGAGACCAGGTCTGTAGGAGCCTTTCCTACTGTGTCAGGTCCTCTGCTCATAATGAAGTTCTGGTTAGATGTGGTTTGGCCCATTTAAGAAGATGGGCTGCCATCAGACTTGTGGCCCTGCTGGTAGCACTTGGTCATGCTTTTCCTGCAGCCAGCCAAGTAGTGTAGAGTCAGTCAGATGGAACTGTAGTTGTATAGAGGAAGCCGCCTTGGAACTGTAGCTGCCCCTTACTGTGGGCTGGCCTCATGACATGGCATGGCTGTGTCCACTCAGTAGGCCATGTGTCCTTGGGGCAGACTTCTGTATCACTCCACCCAACTGCAGCCCAGGAATTCATCTTTCTCTTAGAAAACACCTGGTGGTGGCGACACCATGCATCATTTCTTCCTTTTCCTGTTTTTATTTATTGCTTTTTAAATTGATAGTTAGGCTACAGTATCTGATTTCATTGACAAGTAGGACATTCCATTTTGAAAATTTTGTAACTTTGAGAAGTTTTGTCCCAATTTTTTTTTTCTTTTTGGTAAGCATTTAATGAGCATCCACTGCCTGACATGGGAGAATAGCCTCTGAGTAGTGTCAGTTTCAAATACTACTGAGGAAAGGTTTTGTGTGCTTGCTGCTATGTCTGTTTAATACATACATCACGTGAGTACTGTTACAGAAAGGTTTTTCCAGTGTAAGACACATAGATGTTAGGGCTGAAAAAAGAGTAAGTGAAGCAGAATGTGAGTGGAGTGACTGCTGACAGACAAGAGGTGAAGTAGCTTCCAGTCCTGTTATGGGGATAGACAGCTGGGACAGGAGAGGATTCCCTCCTAGACAGTGAGAGGATGCCACCCACTCATGTGGCCAGTGTAGGCTTGGAGCAAGAGGGCCAGCTGAGGCTTGGTTTTACAAAGAACGGAGACAGCACAAAGCCCAGGGGGTCATTCTCTTTCGTGGGTGGGGACTTGGTGGTGGGCCTATGTCCACTGACCTTCCTCTGCTTTTTCCCAGGTCTCGGTGGCCCTTAGCAGTGGCTCTATCCGTGTGGCCATGCTGGAGGAGAACGGGGAGCGCGTCCTCATGGAGGGGAAGCTCACCCACAAGATCAATACTGAGAGTTCCCTCTGGAGTCTTGAACCAGGAAAATGTGTTTTGGTAAGTCCTGGCACCTGCGTGGAACCCCTGGGGAGTCTCTACCTGCCAGGATACCCTGTGGACACTGGAGCAGGGAGCTGATCAACCGTGGCTGGTGGGAAGTGGGTTTGCTGTGTTGTACCCACTCCTGTGCACATTGCTGTGGCCTCCTGTCTGCTTCTTGGCCCATGGCGCCTGGTCATTCCTGAGAGCCCCATTCTTCTCAGTCTGCTGCAAAAGCAAGTAAACCGAATGGGAACAGTGGGTCGAGTTTTCAGAGAGGCCATTTGGAGGTTATTTAATCAGTTCAGACACACAGACCTACTTGGCCAAGTGGCACCCCCTTGCCCTGTGGCTAGTGGGTGAGTTGAGGATTCGTTGACAGTGAAATTTGGATGTGGAGATGGATGGCCTTTATGCTTCCAGGGAACAGACTCTCTTGGTCGGGCTGTGGGCTGGTGCCCAATGTGTTGCATCCTAGTTCCCTCTGCCATGAGCGTTGTGCCCTATCAGTGATGACTGTGTGCCACCAAGTGGATGCACCCTGCAGAGAGATTGAGGCACGGTTCATGTTGGACTGCCTTGTCTCATCTTTCTCTTGCTAGATGCCTAGCCAGGGCTAGTAAAAGGGACAGAGGTAAAACAAAAGACATCTTTGGAGAAAGAACCTCAGGGTTTTACACGGACACCTTCACATGTTTAAGATGTGCGATAAGAGAAGGACCAGCATCCACCCAGATTGCACAGGTTATACTTGGTGATGCTGTGCTTCTCTGGGCTGTCCTGGCCTATGCCAATGCCAGGGGGTGACCTCAGAGTGTCCTGTCTGTGCCTACGGAGCCCAGCCAGGCCACAGCCCCATCCACAGTGAGCCTAGAGGTGGTACCCATGGCCACATGGGGGCCTCCTCAGCTTCTGCCCAGGTAGGTGCCTCTCTTGTGCTGTTGTGCCCAAGCCACCTCTTCTCCTAGTAGAAGTTTCACCCTGAGTAGGGTCTCCAAGAGCCTCTTTGCTATGCGGGGGTTTCCAGCACTGGAGCTAAGTCTGGCCTGCTCTCAGTTCTAATTTGCCAGCCACTTGTGCCTAACCTCTGCTAACACCAACAGTGGAGATGAAGATGCCAGTGGGCAAAGCTGACACCTTTCAGGACTTCCCAGAGCTCTGGAACACTGGCCATATCTGCTGGGTTCTTGTTCTGAGCCTCACTATGTTGCCCTCCTGGGCTGGGATGACATTCACAGAATAAAGATCACCAACCTTGTGCACTTGTACTAAGGGTGCAGCATGGGACACGTCCTCCTGTGAGGACCTCAGTCTCCTTCTTTGTGTCGTACTCGACCTTTGCACATGGAGCCTCCAGTATCCTGGAGGTGTAATAGTGTAAGCAGTACGGGACCGGCAGGTGCAGGCCACACTCCTGAACTTTTATTGCTGGGTGGCTCTGTGATCTGGGGTCTGCTGTCTCCATGAACTGAGGCCAGGGGCAGTCTTAACAATGGCCTTGGCTCTGTTGCTCTGGCTGTGCAGACTCAGTTTAGCATGTGGAGCGTGCTCCCTGGTCAGCTCCCTCTGACTGGGTACTCTTAGTGAGCCTTTCTACGGGGTCTGCCCCTACTTTGACACTTCACACAGAAGCCTGTGGGAAAACACCCTCTTCTGTCACTAGCCACTGTGTTCAGAATCTGCTGGAATTACAATCAGCATACTCATGATTCCTTTTCCTCAATGTTCTTTATGAAGACATTTACTACATAGCTCACCTCTGATGAGTTTTCAAGAGGCAACTCTTGATTGCTTTTGGACATTCTAAAGTGTGTTGCTACCTGTGTTTTGTATACCCGAATGTACAAACACAACTGAAACGTGGGTATGACTAGTGGCCCAGGTCTGGGCTGTCTTTGTGAATGGCCACAATGTGTGAGCACAGGCTGCGGGCCAGGCCTTGGGAGCTACGTTGCAGTGCTGTAGAGTGCTCTACAAACCCTTTATAAGTTGGGACACAGAGGCTCTGACAACAGGGAGCTGGCTGAGAGGTGGAGCTAGACCATGACCCCAGCTGGTTCCAGTAGACACCATTCACTGCTCTGAGGAACAGAAGTCCCTGGAGAAGGCTTGGGCCAGGGGTCAGGAGATGTTGCTCCTTCAAGCTGAAGGGCTCATTGGAGGCGAACATGAGGAGGGAGGGGGAGCACTGGTCATCTGGGTTTCAGAGGCTACCCCTGTCAAGAGATGATGCAACCGGCATTCAAGTTTTGGGGCTGCATACTCCTCCTCACAAGACAGTGGGTCAGGGGTCACATCTGGAGTAGACAGCTGGATGTCCCATCTTTGTACATAGCCTGGGGCTGCAGTGCACACTGCCCAGGACCTGGCCTTTCCTATGTGTGTGCTGGTCCAGGTGTCTCTTACATCCTGGCTGCTATTAATTTTGTGAGTTGACTTTTGCAAACACTTGCTCCTGGAAGTCCAGAGCACAAAGCAGAACCAGCAGCTGGCAGAAGGTTCCTGCCTTACAGTGAGCACAGTAGCTCCATGTGTCTTCTCCCTTCTAACTCTGTAAGGTGTCCTTGTCCTTGGCCCCTCAAAATGGCTCTCCCTCTCAGTAGACCAGTGTTGCATTGCTAGGGCAGCTTTACCATGAGGTCCAGTGCCTGGGAGCAGGGTGCTGGGCACATTGCACCATCTGTCCACGTTCTCCAGCAGTATGGCCAACCTGCTGCACCCAAGACAGCCTTCCTGGCCAACTAGAGAAACTTCACTGTTCCTGGCACTCAGGGGTTTGGTACCATCTCAATTTAATCATTTATTTGTTGGTGACACATTGGGGCCACATTTTTCTTCTTATTACACATTTGAGATAGAACTGAAAATCAGCAGGCAGGTTGCTTTGGTTCATGAAGGAAGATGCTGTCTAATTTCCATTTACTTTACTGCACCTGCAGGAGAGACCCAGCTTGCTGCTGCCTCAAGCATGTGGAAGCTGAAGGGGTTCCTAAGGAATGGGGACCTGCTTTGGTTGCAGTCCTGCCTGGTTCTCACCCTGCAGATGAGGCCGAGTGCCCTGGTCTGGTCTGGTTGGTTACTAGAATTTGCTGTTGCTTATCTTAGAGTTCTCGATCTCATTCAGGCACAGGGGGTGGGAAGGAAGAGGTCACAATCCCTGCTTTAAAGGGCTGCAGAAGATTTCCTGTGAACAGGGCCTCGCCTGGAAAAGGGGTCTTTGTAGATGCAATTAAGTTAAGGATCTTTTTTTTTTTTTTTTTTGGAGGGGGTTTTTCTATAGAGCATTAGGGCTCGCCAGAAAAACAC